CTTCCAGAGTGGTTGTTCCATTTCACAGTCCCACCAACAGTGTAGGAGAGTTCTAGTCTCTCCACATCCTCTCCATTTATTGCTTGCTGTCCTGTAAAGCTTTTCCACGGCTGCTGGGGTGAGATGGTCTCTCATTATGGATTTGATTTGCATCTGTCTTATTGCCAGTGATTTTGAGCATCTCTTTATGTGTCTGTTGGCCATCTGAATGTCTTTCTCTGAGAAAAAATCTTTCCATGTCTCTTGCCCATTTTGTAGTTGTGTTATCAGTCAGGAAAAGTTTTTGGTGCGCACAGGGATTTAATCTTGAGAAAGTTGGAATGATATTTTTAGTTAGATTCTGAGAGCAGGTTGCATTTACATTTGGCTTGAATCTGAGTTTGTTCAAATTTTTTGGATTGAAACCTGACTAAAGAAGAGATCATCTAGGCATGACCTATGCATGGTATTTTCAATTTCTTCCTGCACATAGTAGGACAGTGAATAAGGAAGACTGAACTGATACCTTTCAGTTGTGTTGATGAAGAGTATTAAGTATACCATGGACTGCCAAAAGAACAGACTTGGAGTCAGTGCAGTAAAGGAACTTCTTATAGGCAAGGATGATGGGACTTCATCTCATATACTTTGGGCATGTTGTCAGGAAAGGCAAGTCCTTGGAAAAAGACACTATTGTGAAAAAAAGTAGAGAGACCCTCGAGATGGATTGGCACAGTGACTGCAGCAGTGGGTTTGAGTGTGGCAAAAATTATGCAAATAGGGAAGTTTCGATCATAGGATGGCTGTGAGTCGTCCACTCAATATTCTCTAGCAGCAGCAACAACAGGGAGCAGATGAATCAAGTAACTTCTGTAACAGTGGACCATTTGCATTTTTACCTACTAGAAGGCCATGGAAATGATACAGAAATGAGTATCTGGCACCAAAAAGAAGGGACAGGAGTCTTGAAGTGCTCAAGATCCATTTACTCTACGAATATTGAACTTTTTGTGTAAGATGAGTCCTGGTGGTATAGTGATTAAAACTCTCACCTTCTAACTGCTGCCGGTTCAGACTCACAAGGTGCTCTATGAGGGAAAGAGATGGCAGTCTGCTTCCATAACAGTGATACCTGGAAACTTTCTGGGACAGAGGGGTCGCTATCTCTAAGAATCAACTGGATACCAACAGGTTTGATGTGGAGGTTTTACTTGTGAAAAGCACAAAGTGCTTTTAAGAATCATAAGACTGTGCCTGCTTTCAAGATGATTACAGTACAGACTGTTAAAGGGCCTTCCTTCTTTAACCCAGAGAAACTTAGTTGGGGGCTTCAGCTCAGAGCTGTAAAGATACCTCTTTAAGATGAAGAGGCCTACAAAATGCATCAAAAAGTTAGCTCTGATACTATATTAAGGGTGGGCTCTAAGTAGGGATTTGGGGACAGTTGGGAAAATTTCAGCATGAAAGCTTTAGAGGACTTTAGCTTTTTGCTTTACTTTGGCTAATATAAGAAAGAGCACTAGGAAAACAAAAAGTACTCTTGTGCTTGACAGTGTAAAATCTTATTTTTAGAGAATAGTAACTATGCATTTATGAAATTCTTTGTCAGAGCAATTTAGTTAATAGGTATGTAAATGACTACTTATTTCGTTGTGTAGGTGGATCGTTCATGTACACTTTCTGAGGAAGAATTTAAGTGCTTAAAAACTATTAACATTGCAAATGGAAAGCAGCAGAAGTTAAGGTTATAAGGCCATCCCTTTTGTATGTGTTAGTAGCAAGATCGAGAAGGCCCATCTTTTAGTGAAGATGTGCTCCATTTCCTAAGTGGAGTCTCTTTCTCACAGCCAAGTATCAGACTGATAGCCCCTTTTGGGGTGCAGGGTGATCAAAGTAAAGAAGGGTGCAAGATTTTTTCTTACTATTGGTTTTCAAGAACAAAAAAATCATGATAAACCCAGATGGAGGTGGGATTGTGAACAATGATAAAAGTTTATGTTCATACAGAATTTACCATCTAAGACATCTAGTGAGAACATTAGTTTAGTCTGATTGTTTCAGTATAAAAGCAGTTTTAGAAGAGGTTGGCCTCCTGTGGTCTGTATCTCTCATTCAATCTCATTGCCATTGAGTTAGTTCTGACTCATAACTTGCCCTCCATTTGGTTTCCAAGACTCTGAATCAAACTGTCCTGTCTTTCTCCTGTGGATTCAAACCACCAGAGAAGCACAGCCTTGGGTTAGTAATACGACATTCTATGGACTGCGCCACCGGAGCTCCCTGTTGCTGTTGTTGTAGGGGCTGTTGACTAGAGTTGACTAGAACTCATAGCAACCCTGTGAACAACAGATCTGAACCCTGTCCTGTCCTGTGCCATCCTCATAATCTTTGACACACTAGAGCCCGTTGTGGCAGTACTGTGTTTGTCTGGTTAAGAATATTCCCATCTTTTGTCGACCCTCCACATTTCCAAGCATGATGTCTCTCTAAGGAAGGGCCTCTCCTAACAACATGTTCAAAGTCTGTTAGGCAAATCTTTTACCTTTGCCTCCAAGGAGCACTCTATTGCACTTTCTCCAAGATAGAGCTGTTTGCAAAATAACTGAGATACCAACCCATCCCAATAACAATAGCAAAATCCAACAGAGCAGCAAACAACAAATGCTGGCGAGGTTGTGGAGAAACTGGAACCCTTACTCACTGTCTGTAGAAGTCTAAAATGGTGCAACCAACTCTGGAAGGCAGTATGGCGCTTTCTCAAAAAGTTAAGAAAAGAAATACCAGTTGACATAGCAATTCCACTACTGGGAATACACACTAAAGAAACCAGAACTGCCACCCAAGCAGATATGTGCACACGCATGTTTATTGCTGTCTTATTCACAATAGCAAAGAGTTGGAAACAACCCAAATGCCCATCAACAAATGAATGGATAGAGAAGCTCTGGTCTATTCACACATGGAGTACTATGCAGCACTGAAAAACAAGGAACTCATGAAATATACAAAAGTGACCCTGGAGGACATGCTGAATGAAATATCTGTCACAAAAGGACAAATACTGCATGATGCCACTTTTATGAAACAGGACTGACATGGGATAAATAATGTACACTGCAGTGAAACAGACAAGAGAAAGAATCTTTAAAAGGAATATATGATTAGGTATTAATTGTATGACAACAGTCCAGTGTAAGAGGTGCATAGCAAAGTGGAGTAAGGAGGTTGGAAATTGTGCAACAATGACATAATTTTTTTAAGAGGAAAGCAAATTGGAGGTGTGGGGTAGGGAGGAAAATGTGCAACAATAAATGAATAGAAATCCAAGTTCTTGGTTTAAAAATAACTTTCATTAAAATATCAATTTTTTTAAAAGAGATATAGCTGTTCTTATGGTAGTATTGGGATATTCAGTATTCTTTAACACCACAACTCAAAGGCATCAATTCTTCTGTCACCCTTAGTCACTGTCCAGCTCTCGATTGCATAGGAATTGATTCAGACCATGGCCTGAATCAAGTGCATCTTAATCGTCAAACTGACGTCATTGCTCCTCCATGATCTGGAGAGGTCCCTGACTGTAGACTTTCCCTTTACAGTACTTTACCTGATCTTCTGACTGTTGGTATCAAGTATTCTAATCATACCAAGTATTTTGATTGTAGATCCAAGCAAGATGAATTTGTTGGCAATTTAAATCTTTAGTATCTCTGCAAGCAAAAATATTGCTATGGATTGTTAAAAAATGACTAGAAGTTCAGGCTGGATTTAGAAGAAGTTGTAGCACCAGGGATATCATTGATTTCAGATGGATCTTGGTTAAAAGTAGAAAATACCAAAAGAATGTCTATTTATGCTTAATTGACTATGCAACAGCATTTGAATATGTGGATCATAACAAATTATGGCTAACATTGAGAAAAATGGGAATCCCAGAACACTTAATTGTGCTTATACAAAACCTACACCTAGATTAAGAGGTTGTTGTGTGAACAGAACAAGGGAACACTGTATGGTTTAATAAAGTTTCCTAGATTGTCAGTGTTGAAGAGCCCATAATCCTGTAAGGGTGCTCTGCTCTGGTGGTAGCAGTTTGCACTGTTAAACCAAAGGCCTTGAAGATCTCTGACAATTTGAGCCGCTCATGGGAGAAAGATGAACAGTCTCCTTCTGTTACGATTTATACCCTTGGAGACCCATTAGAGGTCACTGTGAGTCAGGAGTAACTGCAGTAACTTTTTTTACTTACAATCCTCTTAATTCCTAATCTGGGGGGAAAGTCCTGGGGGCACAACTGTTAAAACCCTGACTATTGACAGCTCCAACCAGACCAACTCAATAGCACAGAAGAGTCACTAACAGAAGAAAATATGTGGGCCCTGCCTCTGCGGTTTCCAGCTCTCCTCCAACTTACACTCAGCCTGCCCTGTGAATGATCTTCATTTCCAGTTGTGTTTGAATCATCACAGTCCCTTTGTTTGAAATTTACCATATGAATCAAATTAAAATGCTTTTCAAAATCCCAAACCTTCCACCAGTCTGTCCTCTCCTTACCTGTTCCTGACCCCCACTATCAGTTCACATTCTTCACATCAGACTAGCAAATGCAAAAACTGTTCATTTCTTCTTGTGGGCCCCAGCTCATCTAAGTCCCCACTTGAGCACCTCTTACTCATCAGGAAACCAAGTCCCTTCATTCTGTACAAATTGTGCCTGAAAGTCATTACACGGTTCAGTGCCACGCGACTCGCCAGTCTGCAGCCAGGCCCAGGGCGCTGGCCCCTTAGCACTGAGCTGTGCACAGCTGTTATCACAGGCCTGAATTCTAGTACTGACAGGTTCGTTCTTAGGTGTCCCACAGCCAGCAAGGATGAGGGCCCTGGGTGCCCCAGCCTTCCTCAGCTTCCCATTTCCACACCAGGGCCCTGCTTGTGAGTGCTGCCTTGATGCTGCTTGTCCTTTTAATTAACTTGTGTTTATAAAAGTTTTTAAGCATTTTTTTTGCTTTCCATTTCCTTCAGGTGCAGAGTGAAGATAGTGTCCTCCTGTTTGTTATTGCTTGGACGATCACAGAAATTATCCGTTACTCCTTTTATACGTTCAGTCTATTAAACCATCTGCCTTACCTCATCAAATGGGCCAGGTAAAAACATACACGGAATGATGACTAGCTTTTGAAATTCACCATTGCTGCATTTTCCCGTTATCGCCTAAATAGGTTTCTAAAAATAAAATTGTATGAGGTGGAGTGGGTAGAAATCTGGTCTGTGGATTTCATCAGAAGTGACCCTGCTTACTTTGATTAATGGAGACACTGGGGCTAAGTCCAATTTACCTGGTCATAACTTTGCCAGGAAATTATATGATTCTTCTATCACTGTTTAGCTAGCAGTGTTAAAATTTTAGCTTTTTATCAGCTTGAGTACTTCTATCTGTAACACCCACTGTGAGTTGAGTACAATACTGGTGTAATATTTCATCTGTACACCTTAGTAATTCCATGCAGCCCTGGTGAACAGTTTTCTGAGTTGGAAAACAACCATGGAGGGGAGTGACAGAGCATAAAGACCAAAACTGTCCCGAGGCACAAATGCTTCATTTCATAGAAGGAAAACCCAGTGCTTCCTAAAGTATATATGAATTTAGTGCATAAACTGGGAGTGTAACCAGTTGTTTGCAATATTTCGAGCATGAGAATGCTCTTTTGTGTTGTATATAGTAAATCTTTGTCTATATAAAAATCATTGTTTTTATAGTAAATTTTTATTCTGTATAAACACGTGTCTATAAAAATGAGAAAAGACTGCCCTTTGTTCTCCCGTGACAACGTTTCAGTCATTAGTTACCTGTCCTCTCAGCTATGCACCACAACACTCCAGGAAAACACACACACACAGAGACACTTATATACATACCACTCAGGAAGACACACACAGCACAGCCATGCACCATACCACTCCAGGGACAGACATACACATATACACCTACAGAATTATGCATCACATCACTCAGTTTCCCCAACACAATCCCTATGCCTCGAAGCTTAGAGCTCAAAGTTACAAGCCTTGAACTGCTGGCTGCCAGAGGCTTTTTTTCTTTCCTTTTTAAAAATAATTTTAATGAACATTTACAGAAATTTTGGATTTCTGTTCATTCATTGCTGCACTTCTCTCCCCGCCTAGCCCTCCCCCCAAAGGCTTTTTAAAAACTGAACTGATAGTTTCTTTGGTAATACTACCTCAGAATGGTTTCCAGTTATTTCTGTGGCATCATAACCACCTTTCGAGTTCTAGCTAATTACTGTTACTTGAAATCTTTTGGAAATAGTTCTTCTCCTTAAAGTGGGGGGGGAAAAAATCGTGGATCTACCCTTATGATAGTAAATCTAATCATAAACTGGGAAAGTTAATGACCAAAAGCTTTATGAATTTTAAACGTTTTTTCCAAATTATTATATTTCATTTACCAATAGCATATGGAGACAATTGAAATATAGTACCAGTATACACACTGTTGATATGTTTTGTTTTGCTTTATTTTTTTTTCCTAGTAGACTTGGTGTGTGGTGTAGGCATTCCTAGACACCAGCATGTCTGCCCCTCTCTACCACCACCCTCAGCTTTCCCCTTATCCCACAGGTCAGGATTCTTCTGTATAATCCTACCTGGTCCATATTTAACATCATTGTAGTTCTTTTAAGGAGTTGTTTCAAGGGTTGTTTATTTAATCAGGCTGAATTTTGAGGCTGAAATGAAAACATTTCTCTTACAATATTTACCTGCCACTGATGCTCTTCAAAATCTGGCTTGTTAAATAAAAAAAGAAAACCACCAACTTGAAACAGGAGTAACATCCACTTCCTAAATAACATGCCTCCAGAATCTCTGTGAACTTGGATAAATGCCAATAGTTACAAAGGGGCTTCAGGCCTCTTGTTCATAGGGTCACTATGAGTCGTGCTCGACTCGAAGGCAATCAACCACAACCACAATCCACTGTTTCAATTGAATACATTTCTCACAGGAAAATTTATAAACACTTATTTTCAAGACCAGTACCAGTTACAAGGGTGGGAGTTTGTCATCCTAGCAAAGCTGCCTTTGCACTTCCCTAATTAATATTCTGTTTTGTTTCAGGTACACACTTTTCATTGTACTGTACCCAATGGGAGTGTCAGGAGAATTGCTCACAATATATGCTGCATTGCCCTTTGTCCGACAGGCTGGCCTGTATTCCATCAGTTTACCAAACAAATACAATTTCTCCTTTGACTATTATGCATTCCTGATTCTGGTAATGATCTCTTACATTCCAGGTAGGTAAACCATTATCCACATGTTTATTTACATCTAAAAATGTGGCTTTGCAGTAACTAGTGTTGAATGTTTTGGGTTGACTTAGTCTACATCCCAGTGAATTTTGCAGGGAAAAACTTTGGTATTTATTAAATACATGCTATCAAAGGGAATTTCCTCTGGCAATAAATGAAACACTTCTCAGTCCAGCTGCCAAAATACAGTCCTTGTTAGTACATGAGTTTGAAACAAGATAAGTTCACTGTGTGTGAGGGCAAAGAACTAAGTGGACAAAAGGGTGCTGGTGGTATCATGGTCATTTGGGGACAGATAGATGTGGAGGACTGCTTCTTTAGGGATTAAGTGCCATCGAGTCGACTCCGACTCATAGCAACTGTAAGTACAACAGCTGTGTGTTATTGTGTACCCCCGAGTTGGAACCGACCCATAGCTCACCTTCCAGTGGGTTTTCAAAGGCATTTAATCACATGGGAGGAGATCGGACATCTTCCATGGAGCACCTGGAAGATTCGAACAGAATGCCTTTGGGATTGCAGTGCAGCTTCTTACCACTAAGCCACCAGAGCTCCCTTGTACAACAGCTCGGAATTCTGCTCTGTCTCTGACACACCTACCCCCATCACCCCAGTCACTGAGTCAATCCATCTCATCACGAGTCTTCCTCTCTGGTGCTGTCCCTCCACCCTCCCAAGTATGATGTCCCTCTCCAAGGACTGGTCCTTAAAATATGCCCAAAGTATGTCAGACAAAGCTTCAGGATCCTTACCTCCAAGGAGCAGCCTGGCTTCACCCTCTCTAGGATGAACCTGTTTCTTCCCTTAGCAGTCCATGGTATCCTCAATACTCTTCTCCAGCACCACAGCTCAAAGGCATAAATTCTCCTTTCATCTTTAAGTCATTCTACAGCTTTTCTACTCTGTTCCACAGAGTCTCTCTCTACAGACACTCTTGTCCTGTAGAATTGGAATCAACTCAATGGAATAGTTTAATGAGTGAAAAACAAACAAAAGCAGCCATTCAGGTTCTTGCCTGGATTTTATTTTCCTGTCCCTTGAGAACTGTTTATTACGGTATTTTAAAACATTTTAAGAAGATGGTCACATTGTTATCTTAAACTATATGGTTATTTCATTTTTTAAAAAATACTTTTATTATTTTTTGTGTGTACCATCAAATGGGATCTGACTGGTACAGGAGGAGATTGTCCCCCCTCCAGCAGACCATCTGGTGGATTTGAACTGTGCACCTGGATTTGCAGTGCAGCTTCCTGCCACTAGGCCACCAGAGCTTGCCAGTTATTTCATTTTTAAGAGTCCAATAGCTTACTTAACTGGAAACAAAACAAAGTAAAAATAGATTTTTTTCCCCTCTCTACATTTCTCGTTTGGAAATGAGCAATAAAACCATCTGAATGGGATATAGTGTTCTCTTCAGAATGGCTTCACTTCTTTGCATACTCTTGCTAAAAGTTTAGATCTATGGGTAATCAAATGTGCCTGGCAGCAGGCTGTGTTTCAAGCTTCTGTGAGGTGATGGTTTTTGAGGAAGAGAGATCGCATTCTTCTGAAATTGTGATGTTCAGTTGCAAATCTTTTGGCTGCACACATTCAAATGGATCTTGTTGTGTCCAAGGATATATATTGTTAGTATCTTTTCATTTAGCTACTTCTATAGCCATTGTAACTATGAATTTTATTTTAGTCCATTAGAGGAAAAAAAATAGCTAAATTCTTCCCTAAGCCCCAGGTTCTATTCAGGCAGGGCTGCGTTTTCTCCACCCACAGCATTAAACAAATGCATCATCCTAACAGTCCTAAGTGACATGTTTGTGTCCTTCTGCGGAAAACTGCATCTCGTGCATTGTGAGAAAAGACTGTATCCAGATTTCCTGCCAACATTTATCTTTGAGAAATTCTTGGCCATAATTCTGCTTTGTGCTTCATTTTCCACTCTCTATTATAAAATATCGGGAGCATGGTGAGTGACCTAGTGACAAGAGGCTGTGCTGCAATCCCAGAGGCACATGGTTTGAATCCATCAGCTGCCCTGCGGGAAAAGGATGGATAATCTCCTCCCATGAGATTAACTGCCTCTGAAAACCTACCTGAGGGTCAGCTATGGGTCTATCCCGACTTGACAACAACAATTATAAATTATCAGGTTCTCCTCTTTGATGTAGCCACAGTACCTGCAGACCATGTGAAAGGTAGTCGATTTTCAAAGAAAAGATAAACATGAAGTCTAAAAATTTAAGTAATGCAAATTAGTATACTGCCTTTTTCACGTAATAGCCTAATTCTTCGCCCCTTGCATTTGATCTTCCTGTCTCTAAAGCAGCAGTTCCTAGTGGCAGCTTGGTCACACCCAAGATAGCATATAGTAGTTACAGGATGGTATAAATCCAACATAGTCTTCAGGATAAACAGGAGATGTATAACATAAGGGATACCTGGCAAGGGAACAGGGAGGCCGTAGTGAAATCAAACAGATAAAGCTCTGAGAGAATGCTACCTCAGAATTTCTGCATTTTTAGTCTCGCTGGAAAAAGGGGCTTCATTGGCCAGAATCAGCTTTCCCAGGCAACTGGTCTGTCTGTACCTCCTCGTGTGTGTGTGTGTGTGTGTGTGTGTGTGTGAGAGAGAGAGAGACAGACAGACCCGGGGGCCAGCCAGTGGCAAGCATTTTAGAAGAGATGAATTTCACATGGAGAGTGAAAGATTCTCTCCAAATTCCCAACTCTGTCCAGTCCCACGGTCGCAGCCTGGGCCAGGCTCCTGCCCCGACCAGCTCTCCTGACAGTGGTGCTCCTGCAGCCTCGGCCTGAGCGGTGCCAGGGTGTTGTTTGCAGTAGTTCAGGTTGTTAACCTTCAGTCATTCCTGCCAGCTGCACATTTCTAGCTTTCCAGAGAAAGTGTAGAATTAGGATAGTTGCCATTGGCATACAAGCTTTACCAAATTTGGGGTTCTTTTTACAATTTTGAATTCTTTGAATCTCCTTTAGTGGGAAGTTGATGATAGAAGTAAAGCAGTCCCTTTCCTTAAGGGCTCGACCATTGTTTACACACATAGCTATTGCTCAGGAGCCTCAGCCCCGGCCCTTTTTGCATATCAGGGTGTGTTGGGTTCCGGTCCAAAGCTCTGCTTTGAGTGCAGTGTGGACAGTACTGGTACAGCATGTTGTCAGCAGGACTCAGACTCCTAAGTCTCAGGTCATCCCTCCTCCCCACCCCAGCCCCACGATGGCCTTTCTTACCTTGAACAGAATGGTTACGTGTCAGGGGGAAGAATTGCATCCCTCACTTACCTGTGCTTGCAAGGCGTGCATCTCCACTGGAGAGATTTCACCCCTAAGGAAACAAAATGATGCTACTGAGGAGGTGAAAAGGCAGTTGAGAAATACTGATGGACACCAAGAAGCTGGGTGTTCTCAGGATGTCTGTGCCATGTGTGTTTTTAAAGAAACAGAGAGAACATCCCCCATTGCTGTCAGTCTCTAAATCCCATGTTCCCTAAATTGGAAGGAAGCCTTAGGAGAAGGAAGCCCCAGCACCGGCTAGTCCTCCTGGCACAGACACACTTGTGTGGCACCGTCACTGCTCTGTGTCCTGAGCTGGCAAAGCAGGAGACGGGACGCTCGGTGGCTCCATGTGCGCGTGCGATTTCCTCAGTGTGACCCATTGTCGCTAAAAATAGGGGCTATACATCTGGAACTATTTCACCCATTTTGGTTGGGTTGTCTCGAACAAATGGCCAATTCAGATGAAGACAATGTCCTGACAGAGCTGTAGAGACTCCACAGGCTGAGAATCGCCACCACTGATCTCCACACCCGCCCCCCACATGCCCTCCCCTTCACACCAGCCCACACGTGCACCCTCCCGCATCCTCCCTCTCACACCCTCCCCAACACTCCCTCCCCTCAACATACTCCCCCCAAAACAATCCCCCAAACACACACCCACGTACACCCTCCCCACATACCCTCCCACACACATTCCCTCCACACATCCTCCCCCCCACACCCCCAC